AGCAGGCGATGATGGCAGGCGGACCAGACTGGAGACGGAAAATCGGTTGCATTCCCAGCACAGAGGCCCATTATCCAGTTCCAGGCGTGTGAGAGGGGGGTGCCCTGAGGGACGGACCTTCACAGGTTTCCTAGTCTGAGCACCGGAGGAATGGAGCTGCTGGACACAAAATCCGGAATTTGCAGGGACATCGGGCCTCAGGGGGCAATCAGCAGGGGTCTGATTGTCCTGAGCCCAGGCAGAGAGTCAGGTCGGGGAGGGTCACACCTCCCAGAGATGGGCAGTCAGTGCTCCAAGGGGAGGAGGAGGCCCGCAGTGCCCACGGCTCTCAGGAAGTCTGGCAGGTGGCAGCCGAGTGAGAAGGACATAGAAAGGCCATGGCCCTGCCACCGTGGCTCAGTGGTTTGAGCATCAACCTATGACCCCGGAATCATAGTTTGATTCCCATCAGGGCACATGTCCAGATTGTGGGCTCCATCCCCAGTGCAGGGCATACAGGAGGCAGCCGATCAATGCTTCTCATCACTGATGTTTCTCTCTTTCCCCCTCCCCCTTCCTCTCTGAAATCAATAAAAATATATTTTAAAAAAAGAAGAAGGGGCGTGGCTAGGAGGGGAGGAACTGGCTCCTGTCTGCCCTGCCAGAGTGGAGACTGAGGGGACCAGCCAGGCCTTCGGGCAGTTTCAGTGAGGCCGTGTGGCAGGACCACTAGGAATTAATCCTACAGTTGCTTATGGCGAGAGCAGTCAGAGCACATCTGGGGAGGCGTAGCTTGAGCACCAGCTGTGGGATGGCCTGGGACTGCCCGTGGGGTGGCAGCCAGTGGGCGGCGGGGGTGGCTCTGGCTGCCTTGTCTGGAGTGGCCAGCGGGCAGGCGAGGAGGCATCTAAGGCGTCCCAGGGGTGGGGAACGTCCGGCCCGCGGGCCACAGAAGGCCATGAAGTCAATTGATCTGGCCCTGCCAAGGCCCGAGGGGTGAGTTAATGAAATGTTTGACCAAATAGAGCAGGCTACTTTTTTAAAAAAAAATGTATTTCTTTATTGGTTTCAGAGAGGAAGGGAGAAGGAGAGAGAGATAGAAACATCAATGATGAGAGAGAATCATTGATTGGCTGCCTCCTGCATGCCCCACACTGGGGATGGAGCCCGCAACCCACGCATGTGCCCTGACCAGAATCAAACCCGCAGGCTGATTCTCTATCCACTGAGCCAAACCGGCTCGGGCAAGCAGGCTACTTTTTGATAATTTTGTACAGCCTGTGAATGACGTTATAAACATCCTAATGGCCTTTGGCAGAAAAAAGGGTCCCACCCCTGACCAGACAAAGAGGGGCCCACAGGGGTGAGGGGGGCTGCCCTGCAGAGCTTTGAGGGCCCTGGGGGAAGTGGCCATTGGGACAGGGAGTCGTTAGGGCCATGCCGGTCTCCCCCGTCCACTGTCGCAGGCGCTGATGGTCTTTGAGGACGTCGCCGTGTACTTCTCCCGGGAAGAGTGGGGGCTCTTGGACTCAGCCCAGAGGGCCTTGTACCGCCAGGTGATGCTGGAGAACTTCGCCCTGGTGGCCTCGCTGGGTAAGGCCCTGGGTCCCCCCTGGGAAAGCTCAGTGGTTGCCAGGCTGGTTCGCCAGCACGAACCCCCTCACCTCCCAGGGGCCTCTGAGCAGCCCCACTCCCCCGGCCGAGGGTCCCTTCAGGGCCTGGGCTCAGCGCTCTTCCTCTGGCCCTGCCGACACAGTCCTCCCCACGGGCACAGGAAGCTGTTCTGTGAGCCCTGACGCGGACAGTCCTCCTGTCGGGCAGCTGGCTGTCATGCGCTGGAGCCGGCCCCTCACTTGCTCGCCTACCCCTTGCAGGACTCTCTGCCTCCCGACCTCGGATAATCCTCCAGCTCGAGCGCGGTGAGGAGCCCTGGGTTCTCAGTGGCCTGGATGTGGCCCTGGCCAGGGATGCCCAGAGGAGGCCCAGCCCTGGTGAGTGTGGCCCCCAGGGGCCGGGGAGGGGGAGGGGTAGGGGTCCCTCTTCCCCACACTCTGCTGCCTCCCACCTGACTCCCTCTGTTCGGTTCTCGGGGTCACCAGGGGCACAGCTTTGGCCGGCACGTTCCTGGTGCTGCCTCCCTGGCGTTGGCTGTGCTAGAGGAGGGGAGTCAGCAAATAGGGTCCATGATCAAACCCCCGGCTCAGGCAGCCACCAGGCGGGGGGCGCTGCAGACCGGAAGGCTGTGTTCTCTGCAGCTGCCACACCCAGACCTGGGGCCCCCCTTG